GGGGGGGGGGTTGGGCTGCCAGGTGAGGTTGACATGCTATCACCTACCTGTGGCTAGCACTTAAGATAAATGTCCTTTGGTAAAAATATCCAAATGTTCTCCTTTAGGCAAAAAATAAGGGCTCTGGCTCCTGTCCCCGGTAGGGTGGCTTTTTCTGCTGCAGCTTGACTTTGGTTAAAAAGAGGCTCCTGACAGGATATTGTATGGAAAAGCGGTTCCACCTCTCCAAAGCAGACAGCAAACCCCCAAGGGATCAGGGTTTGACATCACTGCCCTCTCTTCACCCAAAGCTCAAATCATCCCCTCCCCCCATTTCCAAAGCCTCTGGTACTTGGGGAGCTAGTGTCTTCATGGCATTTTGGAACTTTTCACTCCCTTTAAATATTTTTTTTTGAAAACCTATTAAATTACTCTGAACATTACCCTTTTCCTCTTAGACATCCTACCATTGGAAACTGAAATATAAACATCGGACACTTACCACAAATTAAAAATCTGTTTTCCTGTAGGGGATGTTGATTGGGAACATTAAAATCAAGCTCCATAATACAGGTTCCATTAATTTTTTATTTTTTAAAATAATGTATTTTTTATGTTTTAAAGGAATCCTCTAAATGAAGGGTGATAAGGGGAGAATCCAAATCAGTTACTATTGTTTAATGGGAGAAAAGAGGTTAGGCCACTGCAAATAATTTCAGAAATGGAATATTCCTGGCAGACAGCCCTCCAAGGAGGAGAGGAGAGATGCATTAGAAGTGTCATGAGCTGGCACTTAGCTTTCAGTTCACTGTTGAGTAAGGGTGATTAGATGACAGCACCTCAGCATTTGTGCTTCAATTAGGAAAAAGTATTGGTTTCTTAAAACTAGGAGGTTTTCTCCTTTTGACACTTCCTAAGATGCTACTTCTGTTCAACATAACTCTGGACCGCAGTAGGTTAATTAGCAAGCCCCACCGGGAAGCCTTCTGCCACCTAAGACCCCGAGGGAGACCAGAGCAAGGTGTGTGTGTGGGGGGTGCTTGGTTAAGAAGGAAAGATTCATTCAACCAGGTTAGTTTGATGCCACCCCTTAGCTCCAAAGTAGGAATAAGTGCATCAGACTGAACGGTCCCGTCCCGAAAGACACAAAACAAGCCTGGGCTGGCAGAGGTTAACCACAGGGCTTTCAAAACAAGGCTGTATGGTGATGTTCGAATGTTTCTGTAGCCTTCAGTTTGGGGTTTTAAACCATTTAAGGCCTACTTTCTGCATCTCACCTTCCTTATTTCTAAGCTTCACAGGGAAGGGGGCTCAGGACACAATGCATACCAAGCAAGTAACTCCTAGTGACAAAGGCATTTTAATGTCAGAGGCGAGACATTCATTCTTTCCTTGAATACTTGGGTCTCTTAACTGTAAGCCTGGTCAGTCACCTCAAAGGGCAGGTCGTGCTTTCATCCCAGCACGTAGCAACTGACAGAAGCCAAGGCACCAGGGAAACACGCCATCGCCTCAGATTTAGCGAAAAGCTTTCCGGACTTCTCAGAAATTATTCATGTCCCCCCTGCCCCCACCCTTCAAAAGTCGCACACGAACACTCAGCTCTGATGCATATTTCACGGACAGGCTTAGGTTCCCAAATATTTGCTAAATGCACTTCACTATGCTCACTCCCAAATTAAATGCCTGTCAGCATGACCACTGCTATCCTCTGCAAGTTGCTCTGGCCTTGCTTGTACTCTGAGCTCCTGCTCCATTTCACTCAGAGGACTGATTACTGTGTCTGATTGAAGAGAAATCCTTTGTCTTGGCCAGGACACAAGGCCATAGACATGGCAGAGTCCTACTGTGCCAGAGACGGTCCCTCTGGCAGATCAGAAAGGAAAGCAAAGCTTCCAGGTCAGTACCTCTTAAATCAAACTTTAGAAATGTAAACAAATAAAAGGTCAGGTACATAAGCTGTGGAAAAGCTTTCTGTGTTAACAATTAACAAAGCATCTATTTAGAAGGCATCCACAGCCAGCTGGTGTGGCTCAGTGGTTGAGCGTCGACCTATGAACCAGGAGGTCACGGTTCGATTCCTGGTCAGGGCACAGGCCCGGGTTTCGGGCTTGATCCCCAGTCGGGGGCGTGCAGGAGGCAGCCGATCAATGACTCTCATCATTGATGTTTCTCTCTCTCTCCCTCTCCCTTCCTCTCTCTGAAATCAATAAAAACATTAAAAAGGAAGAAAAAAAAAAAGGCGGCATCCAGGAAGATCCTTAAAAATGAAGTGCGTCCCACAGTGCTGTTCAGAACATAACACTGCTCTCCTGCCTGGAGGCCCGTGGGGAAGTGTCTGGGAGTAAATATGAACAAGTTTTTTTTCCCAAGCTTCTCTTTGTAATTTGGGCCTCCGATTCTTCACACTGGACATTTTAGGTTTTTTTTTAAATACTGACTCTAGAGAGAGGAAGACAGAGAGAAAGAGAAGCATTGATGTGAGAAACATCACTCAGTTGCCTCCCGCCTCACGCCGACCAGGGATTGAACCTGCAGCCTGGGTATGTGCCCTGACTGGGAATTGAACCCACCACCTTCTGGTGTATGGGACGACGCTCCGATGGAGCCACACCGGCCAGGGCCATTTTAGTTCATTTATTACATATGTACATATTTCCTAAAGCGAGAATGACTTACCAACTGGAATTTGTTGTTTCTAATGTCATTGGTCTTCTTCCAGCTAACCACAAGCTGGTAATTTCATTACTAAAAACTGGGCCTCCTGTTCTTGTCTCTCAGCAAGGGCTGGCTAATTAACTACCGAGTTCAGTTTTTAAGTGGGCGGCGGCTATAAACAATAAAAGGTTGAAAACTAGAATCCAAGAAGGGATACACCACAAATGGTTGGTCCCATGGCAGGGAAAAGAAATCTGTTCTCCATTTCCCAGCACTGGCAGAGAAAGATACGCTTAAAACGTCAGCAGAAACCTTTAATGTTAAATCACAGTAAGAATTCCTAACAGTAAAAACTCTTTATTCATGTTGTTGAGTTTCAGAGTAAAGGGTTCCTCTTCTGAGGTGATCTGCACTGAGACCTCTGTTAATGTAGCTGGAATATTCTCTGAAATGCTCTTGGTTTTTAATTATTATTGTCATTTTTCAGGCCTCACCTGAGGATAATTTTCCATTGCTTTTCAGAGTGGGAGGGGGAGAGACACACATCGATGTGAGAGAGAAAAACATCGACTGGTTGCCTCCTGCACTTGCCCTGACTGGGGCTGGGGACTGAGCCTGCAACAGAGGTACGTGCCCTTGGCTGGAATTGAACCCAGGACCCTGCAGTGCTCGGGCCGATGCTCTAATCACTGAGCCAAACCAGCCAGGGCAAATGCTTTTGATTTTCAGTAAAAGGAAGGGCCTTCCCTTGGTTGATAAGAACATGGAAGAAAAGTATGTACATACACCAGCCACATCACACATATCAGCAGGTGCTCTTCTATTATAAATGCAGACAGCGACTTAGTGACACCTTTCAACAGCACTCATCACCCACAATGTGGCTTGATTTTGACAACCCCCCCCCGGGATTCTATGTCTTCAATTTCGCAAAGTTGGGTTTTACCAAGACAACAATAACAATTCTACTTTCAAAAATCCAGTTATTTGAAATTTCAGCCTTATTTCTCGATCACTATTTTCAACCATGCCGCTTTCCTCATCAAATCTGCTGGTTGCCTGATCAGTTTTTCAGAGTTTGGCTGGTTCCAAGGTTTCTACCATCCTCCCACTCCCAACACCCACAGCTGCCCCTTGTGTCCCAGACAACTAAAGCTCTTGGCACCATTTTCCTTACTCCCACTGCTGCCTCCACATCACCCTCCACCCACTGTCTGGAACAGTCTCCCACTTCCATCTGCGAAATTCTCTTTCCTCACCTCTCCCAGGAAGCCTTCCTTAACCAAGATTAAGGACTCTTAAGACTATAAGAGACATCACCTGACATTGATGTCTAATGCATCCCAAACTTTTATTTATTTTAAATATATCTTTATTGATTTCAGAGAGAGAGAGAAACATCAATGATGAGAGTCATTGATCGGCTGCCTCCTGCATGCCCCCAACTGGGGATCAAGCCCGCAACCCGGGCATGTGCCCTGACCGGGAATCGAACTGCGATCTCCCGGATCATAGGTCCATGGTCAACCGCTGAACCATGCCACCCGGCAGCATCCCAAATTTTTAGAACCAGAATCGCCTTTCAGGGATAAGAAGCAGTCCCTTTATAACCAACTGAGAGTGATACTGGTGGTAGAATACGTTTTTCTAAGAGAGAGGAGTATGCAAAAAAAAAAAAAAGACCATTTCCACAAGCCACCCTTTTTAAAGATTGAAGTCTTTAATTATTCCGATTCCTTCAGAGCCTCAGTCTCCTTTTCACTTGAAACCCCCTAGATGAAGTCTGTCAGCAAGCTGCATGCATATTTACATCAGTCAAAAAGTTTGAGCAGAAACTTCCAACAAAGCATATAATATTTTTATTAGATATTCTGAGTGTTGAAAGGATGAAAGAATCAGCTACTAGAGGTCATACGTGCAGATTCTGAAGTTATTTCTATACACAGCTTTCCTTCTGTGAGAGGTGGGACAACTATGACTCTGAGTGTGGCGTCTTACTCTGCAGAAAGTTTTGAGGACCGAGTTTCAGATGTGGTGGAGTCACCCTCGTATCTACTGAGTCCCATATATGAAACTGCTTTACTTTTGTTTGAAAAGCAGCTTTTATTGCAGGCTAGCCTTTCCCCATTAAGAAATTAGCGTTCAGGCCTCAATCCAAGCAAAGTGGAGGTTAGTTGCATCATTTCCATCCTCAGGGGCCTGGTGTCCTGGGAAACCCAGGGTATGAACAATGAACAGGGTGAGTCCAGGACACACATGTTAGGAGAGACGGTGCATCGTGATGAGGCGGGCACCCAGCACCCCAAGTGTGCTTTAGTTACCAGAATATTTGACACACCACAAATTGAGCAGCAAAACATTTTAATCCATTAATTCTAAAAATAATAGAGACATTTTATATCTGATGCCACCTCCTCAAAAGTCTACTGCAGATGAGACAGACTGCAAAGTACAAAGCCAGACGTTCGAGTTAAAGATGCAGTCTGGGACAAGACCATCGCGGGGAGATTTCCCTCCCCTTTGCTCATAAACATAGGTTGTCAACTTAAAAAGTCCTCAGAAGGAAAGAGAAAGCTTTCTCATGCCCGATGACCTTTCTCTTCACTTTAAATCTGTCTGTATCGTTTGAAGGCAACGCAGATCATCAGAAAACTGACCACTCAAGTACAAGGGTCTGAGCTGCGACCCCCGGGGCTAACGACGGGCTAGTTCTCTCCCTACCAGCACTGTGATGCGAGGTACCACGGTTCTTGTTGCAGTTACAAGAGGTGCTAGGAATGGAAGCCCACTCACGGTTAATAATAGCGCGTCGGGCACACAGCTCCGCCGCACAATACCAACAAGAGCGTTTTAAAGCAGGGTGGGGAAGCAAGCAGACATCATTACAGCTTAGGGTTCCTTGTCCTTTCCCCTCTTTGTACAGGGAGCGCTCAGCTCAGGAATATCCAGTGTCCTCTGGTCCGCCACACTCCAAACCCGCGGCTTCACCCCCAGCCCCAGGCCCTCAGGCTTTAGTGATGTATCCTTCTCGAATGAGGAAGTCATAGATTTTCCGGGTTTTGTTCACATCTATCTTGATGAGCGCTCTCGCCTGTGCCAGTCTCAAGCCTCCTTGCTTGTTACATTCGTTCAACAGAGCAGATTTGTATTCTAAATAGGCTCCTGGGACCAGCCTCACCATCTGACAGAGCTGTAAGACACGGCAGATTTAATAAGCATTAGCACCCATCGTTCTCATCATTTAATCCAGCAGGTGTAGCCCAAACAGAATTTAAGAAGTGACATCAACCTCCAGCTATTTATAGGAGCTGCTGGGTGGCTGGACTACATTCCACTTAGTCTCTTCTTTGGAGGAAGACTCACTAAAGACAGACACTCAGGAAGAGAAAGCCAGGACGTGATGCTGGGAGAGCCTTTGGCAGGTGTCGGTTGGTCGAGGGCCCAGCACATTCCAACACGGCCAGTCAGGGAAGAGCCACAGGGCTCGGGGAGGCTGGGGGTGCAGACACTTGGACTCCCAAGTGTGAATCACATTATTTTTAGTATCGGCATACAGTAGCAATCCCTGCTTTTGTGATTACATTCCCTGCTTTGAAGGGAGAGGAGATATAGAGACCTTGATAAGAGAGGCCACTTTAGCTGCTAAAAATCTAGAAAGCTGGCTCAGTCCAGTTTACTTGCCATTATCCAGCCATGAGCAGCCTAAGGCTCCACTCTGAAGGCAAAGATAAAAACTGCTTAAAACTCCAGGCCATCCAACACTTGAATCTGAATGGCCCCTGACCTTTTTAAGCAATACTGGGACATAAATACATTTCCTTCTATCCCCAAACGAATCTTTACTATTCTTATAGTGGATAAAATAAAAGACTAGTACTAGCCCCTTCTCCCCGACTCTTCTTCACAGTCTGACCTGAATTAATGGTACAGAGTGGCAGGTGGGGACCCGGTCCTGGGAACTGTAAAAGGAGCAGACCAGGAACAAAAGAGGACTCCCTCTTTTGGAATGGACTTCAGAGCCACGCACATTCTTTTGAAAACGCTTGATGATGATTCTTTTGAGGCTGGATTTAAATTTTAGAAACAGCCAAAAGTAGTATGAAGACAAGTCTGAAGATTACATAATAGGAAAGAAAAGTGAATCATGACATTTTAAAATAAAAATTAATGTGTGACTATATATGATAATGAATTCCTTTCTTTATGCTTGCAAACATGCTATGGAGACAATTCCAAGTATCTGAAGTGATGGTTATACTGTTGGAAAAAGTGTAGAACTCCTCGAAGTGGCCATTCTAATAGGAATTAACCATTTTCATACAGAAGTTATTTTAGGTTTATGAAAAATTAATTTCATTTACATAAAGCACTTAGTACAGTATTTGGTACATGGTAAGTGCTCAATAAATGACAGTTGCTACTATTTAGATTTACACATCCTATGTTCTTCTCTTAGAAGGCATGTGGTGGCCAGGTGACAAGGAAAGGAGCCCCCTGAAACCGGCTGCGGTTAGCTCGTAGCTCACAGCCTTCTGGGAAGACCAGACCGTACATGTTGATCCTGCAGTGGCAGCTCAGTGACTTCTCAGCCTCCCTCCCCTCGCTCCCATTCCTCCTGTTACCTCCTTTTCTCTCTCGTTCAGCTTCTCCGTGCCAGGGAGGCCTGTGAGGTTCAAGGGCGGTGCACTTCGTCTACCTACAGACACAGACAGAAAAGGGCATGTATTTCATAGAAGCGACAAGTCCTCAGGTGTAAAATGTAACCAAGATCACCGCAGCCAGGCCAGTTAGGTACAAGATCATTCTGTACAGCTGTAGGAAATCTCCACCAGCCCCCGCAGGCCCCAGTTTAACTAGCAGCATGGGCTCCACAATGCTCCCTTGAAAACTAAAATGCTAATATGTGTGCCCCTTGCTCTGCTAAAATACTCTATATATAATTACACATATCATAGCATCAAATATGACGACTTAACACAGCAGTTATTACCCATTTATTCTGAACCCAATAGAGATTCTAAAATCTAAAGCCCAGGTCTCATCCAGTTAAGAAAGGTCAGACGCTACCTGCCTTGACAGCTGATGAATGGAAATAACAACTCTGCGGGAGACATTTGCTAACCCTGCCACTGTGCCAGCAGTACAAGGCAAACACGCTAATTAACCAAGTACCATTTGCCTTGGGATCAAAGGCAGACTGTTAGGCCAGCAAAAGGCCCTTCTTATGTCCTATGTGAGGGAATATCTGTTCCTTCCAAAGCAGCCCTGTTTACCGGAAAGATCCACACAGAGGAACAATGAGTTATTATATGGCCAAGTAGGGGCTGAAGTGAACTCACCTACCTAAGAAAGAAACCTAAGTGTGAGACGACTGCCCAGGATGGAAAGCTTGATGTGCGAAATATTTTCGGTTTTGTTTTGAATGTTTAGTTGAGATTAGTGTTCAGTTGCGGATGGACAGACTGAGTTAAGCAAAAAAAAGTGTAGAACAATGTAAGTTTCGTGGGCGTTGCCTTTTGGGTGGTAGACAGAAAGGGGAGGGACTGTTAACAGGCTGCTCTGCTAGAAAACGTGCTTCTCTGTAAAATCAACAAAAGGGATACGGGCTTCTCCACAACCCAAAGGCCTCGCCTTACCCTAAAAGCTCAAAAAAGGGAGACTAAAATCATTTGCTGCCTCACTAGAGGCTAAGTTACAATCAAGGATCCAGGTTTCCCACTTTGCATGGCCTCAGGACCCACTCAGAGCAAGAGCAAGGGGCCTCCTCAACCTAAATACAGGGCGTGAGGGAGGCTAACACCAGCCTGGGAAGCAAGAAAGAACCAGTGAGTACAGATGGTTCAGAAACAAACGCCAATGCTGCGTGGCCATGTTAGGTTGTTCATTTTCACTAGCCAATATTAAGTTATTTGTATTTCTGCACTTAGACTGGCAGGGAGAGGTTGGAAGTAAGAAACATAAAATGAAACTTGGCTACTCCCTAAAAGACTCTCTTTTCTCCTTAAGTATTAAAAAATAATTACTTGAAACAAAGGAATAAATG